AAATTTCACAAAACATCAATCATCCCTTCATTTGTGGATTTTAAGGGGTTTGTTTTGAAAGTTATAGTTTTCATTCTACTAACATGTCTTTTGTTTTTTTTCAGGTTTCCAAATGGTAGTCTTCAAACCCTACCAATGTCCAGATTGTGGGAATTGCTTTGCATCTCGTCAAAGTCGTTATATGCATAAAAAATTCAAATGCGGAAAAGAAACCGGCGAATTTTCTTGTGATTTATGCGATTATCGTGCCTTTTTTAAAGGAAACCTCAAAAAGCACTTAATCTCTGTACATCACACTGATAAGCAGAATAATTAAAAATAAATATGAAACCGACAATAATATTCCCATTGCCATATTTTAACCCTTTCTTCTCGCTGCGTGGAAAGGGTTAATACATACCACGTTATTAAATTGTATTTTATACTTCGAATGAAGTAAATTTACTTATTCTCATTGAAATAAATTAGTGATAATTAAGTCTGGTGCTCTCGTAGCATTTATCTAACTAATGTAAATTGAAGCATTACCTACATTTATCATTGGAATATATATTTGTTATAGTTGTAAGAATATGACATACTAATAAATTTGCTGTATTTTTTTTCAATTTCTGATGGTATAATCAAATGCCTTAGTAATAAAAAGATGTAGAATATGCATTGCCGTCCAAAGAAAACATTTTGTTAAAAAACTGAATAATAATCTTCTGAAAAGAACTGTTAAAATTATATAAGTAGTCTATTATAGTAGACTATTTTTTTTAAAACTATATATACATAAATATATTTATAGCATATTATACAATTACTTACTATCCAATGCATTGTAATAAAATATAATTTAATTAATATTGTACAGTTTTAAGAATAAAATATGTATCAATTTAGCAAAGAAAGACACACTAAATAAAAAATTAATACAAAAAAAAACAACAATTTAAACCAAATACAATATTGGGTTAGATTTTTTAATACAATAATAAATTAGAAATTTTAACTTATTTCTCATAAGTTAAGAGTAATCTTTATTAGAGTTTATCCACTATTCAAACTCTATTAGTGCTTTTCTAGCCTGAAATATAGCATGCTTGGTTTAAAATGTTAGGACACATTTGTTCTTGAAACTGTATAATCTTATATAAATTTATATTTTAACCCTTTCTCACTCGCGAATTGTAAAGATAGTACGTATTTTGTCGTCGAAGTGGTGGCATCCGGGTGGAACGGGTTAAGTTTGTGTATATATAAAAATAGAAAGAAGAAAAATATTTTTAACAGATTTCTAATTATATTGAAACGTATCTATTACTAAGAAACATGGATTCCTGTACAGTGTTTACATTAATATTATCAAAAAGTATATTTTTGTTGAGCATTGTTGTGTTTTATACACTTTACTTGTAAAATTGTTATGTTAAACAAAATGTAATGCTTTTATGTAATGGAGTAATTCATATTACAGTAAGTAATATACACTGTATATTATACACTGTAAGTAATTATACACTGTCTGGTATATAAACTCATCGGATGATTTAAATTTTTCATAATTATGTGCATGGTTTCATTCTAAAATTATGTAGTTATGTACAATTCAAGGTTTGAAATCCACTGACACTAAATTTATTTTTATGTCACATTATTTTTCTTATTTTCCAGCACATATGCATATTAATGAATTACAGGTATATTCAAGAAATATTTGTTTTGGGTTGATTTTCTTATATGAATTTTATAAAATAAAGTTAATTAAATTTAATAATATTTGAACATATATAGTTGGAATTTATCTATACATTATGATTGTAAACTTATTAAAATAAATTATATATTCTGTCATCATTGCATTTGTGCATTGTCCTGATTGCATCATGATTGTAGTGGCCGTCATTCAGCATTTTGAGATAAATCATTCTGGGAGAATCACATAATAAGATGGTGTGTCGTACAACATAACCAAATTAATCACTAATTTATATATTTCTTTTTTTTAGATAAAACTGCTGTACTAAGTGGACTCTTCAATGATGCCCCATATACATGTAGCAACTGCCAGAAAGTCTACAGATACAAAAAGACATTATTACTTCATTTGCGTTACGAATGTGGCAAAGAACCTCAATTTCAATGTCCATATTGTTTTTATAAGTGCCATCAGAAAGGAAATTTATTAACTCATATGAAAACTTGTAAAGTCAGGAGAAGAATTGTACAACATGAAACGTCTCCTTGAGAATCTATTCTTTACTCCATAGTAAAAATCTCTTAGCTGAATTAAATTAATAGGATTGTTAATACTAACTATATTTTTACCTTTCATATCTACAATTTTCATATTAGTTTTTGATTGCCCAAATATCTTGATCGCCAAACTTTTATACGAAGGTTTGAGCATATTCTCAAAGATAAACATTAAATAAATCAACAACATATTAAGTTTTGATTGATTTTTATAATTTAAGGCACTTAGCTTAGATACCTATCAAATAAGGTTTTTTATATTTCAAAGTACAAATAAAATATATCGTTTATCATAATCTAAAACTGTTTCGTATGATATATTGTGCTTACGAATTTAACATAATGCAATCTATATTATCAATAAAACAGCTACAATTAATAGATCAAGATATTGCTTATTGTTAGATTTTATGTTTTTTTTAATAATATTAAATTTGTTTTTTTTTATTGTACTATAAACTGCTATGATTATGAATGGTTTATGATATAATTTAATTATAAATTAGCCATGTTTTAAGAAAAATCATTGTGAATTTTATAAAAATTTTATGTGGTTTTTCATATAAATCTGTAATGTTATGAAATAAAGATATATTATTTGTGATGTATAATTTCTCAATATTATATAAATAAAATAGGATATAGTATGAATATATATATATATATATATATATATATATATATATATATATATATATATTTATTTATATGTAGGCTGGCCCTATCATGTACTAGTTTTAATTTTGATTTTTTATTATTTTTTTATTTTTTATTTTTACAAAATATTCTAGATTTACAAGCAAGAAATTTGCCACATGTTCACATCCTACTCAAAAAAGAAGGTCCGTCTACTAAAGTTAGAAAATATTGCAAAGGATGTTATGCCAAGAAAGTACGTGGAGAATTGCCAAAAACTCGAATAAAGAAAGTTGTCACATTCTGCTCGACCTGTCGAAATCAGCCACATTATTGCTTGGATTGTTTTAATAAAGCACATTCTTAAATATTTTTAATCATCGCATTTTATTAGTTGTAGGAACTTATCTTACTATCATTTTTTTGTTCCTGAATAAATATGAATAAATGGTCCTGCCCATCAGTGAACAGCCTGATTTTTAACTGATATACTACATACGGTGTTTGAATTTCAAAATCAGTTCAGGATTATTTGCGAAAATTTGATCGAAAAATGTAGCACCTTATTTCTAATTCTAGAGAAACTAACGCGAGTCCTCTTATTTTTGGGTCAATATACGGTACATCGAAATTCATTTTAGAGGTATGGTTTCTTCGGCAAAGTATCTTATTTTGATCCCTAGTATCCGAAATTCACATGTGCTTAAGAAATTTTTTTGACCCATAAAATCGACCCACTCTACTAATGTATACGTATCGGGAAGTTAATGCTACTTGCCTTGGAGGTGTTGATTGATCACGTGATCGATTTTTAGGGATATTGTGATTTTTAAAATTACTCACCTTCTCCATACTTTATTGTGTTTTTTTATCTCTCTATATTCTCTTTGTGATTTTTTGTCAAAACCGCCCATTTTCCCTTTCTAATCTTTACGTGATTAATATTCGGCCCATAACGCTACTTACAACAAGTTATATTCTTTATATCATATATTTTGTGAAATTTCCAATTTAAAATTCACCGCCTTATGAATTTACCTTTATATTTGAACGTGAACTTGAAAAATTTTACTTTCATTTTAGAGCTTTTGTGATTTTTCAAATTACTCACCCTCCCCATACTTTAGTGATACCCTCGCGGAACCAATTTCACGTGTATTTTTAGTACTTAGGAAAATCGTAAATTTTTGGAAAAATTTTGAAAACTTGGGTTTTTTTTACTCTCCACGTTTTCTTTGTGAATTTTTGTCAAAACCGCCCTCCACCCCTTCTAAGCTTTACGTGATTAATATTCGTCCCCTAACACTGCTTACAACTAGTTATATTCTTCATATTGATATTTTGTGAAATCTTTAATTTAAAATTTACCGCCATATAAATTAATCTTTACATTAGAAAGTGAACTTCGAAAATTTACCTTCGATATAAGCAATTGACTATTTTATCTAAATAACTGAATCTCAATTTTTATTGATAAAGTCGATTATGTATACCCATCGGAAAGTTAATGCAATTTAATTGCCTTAATGGGGTGTTGATTGATCACGTGATCGATTTTTAGGGATTTTGGGATTTTTTAAATTACTCACACTCCACTTACTTTAGTGATACCCTCCCCGAACCAATTTTACGTGCATGTTTGGTACCTACAAAAATCGTAAAATTTTGGAAAATCTTTGAAAACTGTTTTTTTTTATCTTTCGACATTCTTTTTGTAATTTGTTGTGAGTTTTTGTCAAAATCTCACACCTCCCCCCCTTCTTAAGCTTTTCGCTATAAATAAAATAATAATAAGCGTTATAATAATATAAGAACTAGCTATATTTTTCATATTATATATTTTGTGAAATCTTCAATTTAAAATTTACCGCCTAAAAAATTTACATTTCCTTACATTTCATTGGACGTGAACTTCGCGCCTTTTCTAATTGTAAACTTCAGTCAGCTGTTTTTCTCGCACACAACCAACGCTGCGGTGTTCATACGATACGTACGACATGTTTTAAGTTGGTGTGCGTGTACGTGCGTTTAGGTTATGTTCATTATGCTAGTTTTGGTGGGATTATGTGTATAATAATTAATATTATAATATATATTTTTTATTATTTTATCTTTAAAGTTTGTGCTATTTTAATTAAGTGCAGTTATCCATTGTATTTTTGTATAAAGTTTAATAAAATTTGTTGAAAATAAACTGTTTTTATACAAACAATAAGCTTATCAAGGCAGTTATTTTAGTTTGACAACCATCATCCTAATATTGTTTAGGACAACCATCATTCGAGAGAATAATGAAATTACTGAATTGTTTTCAGTACTAAACTGGAATTGTACCTGAATTCGTAAATACAATTAATATGTTGTTAAAATATCCACAACTATGTACTTATTTAAGATCTCTTGTTTATCTTGTACTATAATCTGCAATCTTGTATGATTTATAATATGATTCAATTATAAATGAACCATGCTGTAAAAATATTTGTTTTGTTGTTTCTAATTCGTATATAACATGATAATGTATAATATCACATAAACTTACTTATTGTATAATATCACATAAATTTATTTCTTACTACAGATCTTTTTTCCAGGTCGAGTGTCTTTTGATACACCAATATTAGATATATATATATATATATATATATATATATATATATATATATATATATATATATATATATATATATATATATATATATATATATATCTATAGAATGTTCAGTATGATCCACTTTCTTTTTTCATATATAGTGTATCGCTTGCAAAAATTAGCTTCTGCAATACATTAGAGATTACATATCGAATAATCTGAAATACTACAAGCTGTAATAATCATTAATGATTTATGATTATATTATACAATTATGAATGGACCATGTTGTAAAAATATTTGTCTTGTTTCTAATTCGTATAAAATGATAATGCATTATATCATATAAACTGAATCTATTTCTTACTACAGATCTTTTTTACAGGTTGAGCGTATTTTGATACACTAATATTATATTTATATATAGGATGATTAAATTTTTCCTCCTTGTAAACAACAAAGTATTTGTTTTGTCGTTTCTAATGTATATGTAACATAATAATGTATAACATCACATAAACTATATCAATATTACAAATTTACATTTTATAAATAAATATATATATATATATATATATATATATATGTCTAAATTAAATATTCAACATGATTCATTTTTTTCTCTCATATATAGTTTATCGCTTGCAAAAAATAGCTGTTGCAATAATTGCAGTACATTAGATATTGCATATCAAATAATTTGAAATAATATAATCTACAATAATCATTAATGATTTATGATTATATGATTTGTTCATTGATAAACCATATTGTAAAATTATTGTTTTGTCGTTTCTAATTTATATGTAACATGATAATGTATAACATCGTATAAACTTTATTTAGTTCTTACTACAGATCCTGTTTTTCTAGGTCAAATGTATTTTGGTACACCAATATTATATTATGTATATATATATATATATAGCTGTGTAATTTAAATATTCAAGATGATTTACCTTTTCTGTAATATTTAATTTGTATCGAATAATCTGAAATTCTATAATCTGCAAAAATCATTAATGATTTATGATTATATTATTCAATTATTAATGAACCATGTTGTAAAAATATTTGTTCTGTTGTTTCTAATTTATATGTACGTAATGATGGTAATATCATAATAACTTTATTTGTTACTATATGTCTTTTTCTTTTTCAGGTCGTGTGAATCTAGAAACATCAATGTTATATTATACATTAAACTAATATATATATATATATATATATATATATATATACACTTTAATTATTCAGGATGGATGCACTTCTCCTTCTCATATAGAGTTATATTTATTATCCAACAATCCAAAAAAATTTAATCGATATTCTTTTCTATATTGATTCAGTTTTTCATTTTCAGTATAACATATTCCAATCCAATTATTTAATGCTACAGCTCACTGTATCATAATTTCGATTTGCTCAATTACTTTACAATTAACACCTTATTTTATTTCTGTTTTAGCAATTTCTCGATATGGATTTCCAGCACCGCCTCAATCACATCATGATGGTGTGTATCATGTATGTCCACAATGTTCTCGATCTTACAAATATAGTTGGAACTTGACTAAGCATTTAAAATATGAATGTGGAAAAATGCCACAATTCAAATGTGATCGGTGTGGACACAGATTTCATCAGAAAGGGAATATGAAAGCTCATATGAGAAGTTGTGTGGGCAAAAATAAATTCTCGCAGGTTACTCAATAGATTTGGTTTGGTTTGACATGAATTGACAGAATTTTCAGAATTTCTTTAAAAGAGTAATATATGAATAAATTATATGTATATTTTATTAATAACCTGAGACAACTTTGAATCATCTCTTACATTAATTTGTAGCAAATTGTAACAATATAATAAAACACTGAAAGTATTGATATTAATATTTAATATCATTTATTCCTCAAATGTTAATATGTCTATTTAATTTATTAAGATTGTGAAATATGTATCTGCTTAATTTCAAACAATTATGAATCACAACAGCTAATCATATAAATTTATTTTCTAAAAAATTATTGCAAGTGAGCTATAATTTGTAATTATGAAATGAACAATTGTTACTTCCTTTAATATTATCTAATTTATTATGAAAAAGATTATTTGAAATATGTTTATCAGAAGACTTTATATATTTATATATTATATATAAATATTTGTATAATGAAATTGATATGTATAATCTAGAGGGATAGCAGAATTAATATAATTTTAATTATAATTTAATAATTTGTTAATTATTAACTATGACTAAGTTTATTTACAAGATATTATATAAGGTATCATACTATGAAGTCTTGTCCATAAATTGATAACATGACTACTATTAAAAAATATATATACAGTAAAGCCTAAATAATTTAAACACTGATTGACATTTATCACAATGCTATTTGCCAGAGGTATGAATGTTTGAATGTTCTAAATTGTTCGAATATTTTGCAACACTGCAATATAAATAATCAAAGTGTGTGCATTTAGTAGTCAGATTTATTGAGTTATTTAGACTTTACTTTTTTTAATTATGATATTTAATATTTTGATATAATATTGAATATTTATCTACCGTCAATATTGATATGTTTGAATCTGCATTTATACTTTTGTGTTCAGATATGAGATAAATAAAATGAATGCGATTGACATTAGAAGTTTTTTATTGGTTGTATGGTAATGTAGTTACTTTTATAGTTTTGCATGATGATTTTTTTTATTATTTTCTTAATCTAATTTTCATAATAATTTCCAGAAGTCTTGGAATGCTTCACAACTCCCAAAAATGACAGAAAAATAAACGGTTTGGGATCAGCTTTCCTCATGATACCACATTCTGTATACCTTGATTATAAATCTGATGGTGATGCTAAGACAAAAATTGATCAAGTTCCATCACCCTGTCCCATTGCCAGAAGAACCAGAGGTGCCAAGCGTGCTAGCTTATTGGAAGAAGATGTTAAGCCTTGTGTTGAAGTGAATGGTTTCCTGAAGGATATTAGTAACGGCAATAATTTATGTGTAGCAGCGGAAGCAAAACTGAAACAAAAATCTCCAGGAAAAACAACACCAAGAAGTCTTAACGCTGTTGCACAAAATGAAAATTCAACCTCGATCGCGAAAACTGAAAGTAATCATACAATAGATAGATCTGAGGTCTCATCAACGCCAGTTAAGGTTCAAAAAGTTTTTTGTTCCATTTGCCTACAAGAGCTTGCAACACATTATACACTCATGCGACATTTGAGAGCAAAACATCCCAATTCGGAAATAGTATCCTCCTTTAAGAAAAATTTCGAAGGTTCCAAAGTCAAGAAGCGAGCTAAAAAAGCCAAGAATTTGGTTAATGTTGCAAAAATTGCTATGCAATCCGTTAAGAAGAATTTGGCTAAACCAAAACAATCGAACATTGATGTTGAAGCTAATTTAAAGGCTGAAAATAATACCGATGTGAAACAAGAAAATATGAATACCAATGTTGAATTATACACACTTAATAACAACATTGGAGGTAGGAAGATGAATAAGCATAATATCCCAAAACTTAGGAAAAAAGTTGCACTCAAGACTGAAGAAACTTCTAACCTAAACAATATACCCATCACTTGCAAAACGGAATGATTTATACGTTTTTTTTTATTGATGGAGATCGATTCTTTTAATCATTTAATTTATTTGTAATGTATGAAATAATAGTTTTCATTCATATTGTATTTAATATTATTTATTTAGTGTCATTTATTAAGTTGAAAAGTAGTTATGTTTTTAATAATTATGTGTGCCTTTTTTAGAATTAGTTTATATTTAGAAAATAGAAACTTTGATTAACAAGTTTGAAGTGGGCATTATAAGTTTATAAAGTGCCTCCGTTCAAGTTATTTTTCTAAATACCTGCAAACTTTGTATTGTTACTCATATTAAATATCAACTTTACCTGTCTATTCTTAAAGTTCTGTTTAATAAATATAAAGTGGTCATTAAATTTAATTTGAAAAAGTTTATAAAGTGCCTTGTTTAAGTTTTGTTATAAATTGCTGCAAAAATTACACACGTACTATATTAAATATTAACTTTAAATGCTAATTTGCAAAGTTCTGTTATAAAATATATTTAATTTTTATTATTGTAGTACATTATATAATCCATGATTATTTATGTTTATAATTAATAATTATTTATTCCTCATTTGTGCCAATATTCATGAAATACATATAGATATAATTTAAGTTTCAATGACATATATATTTCTTTTATTCTATTGGTATTTAAATAGCCATCAGAACTTAAGGGCGTTCTTGTGATTTTGCTACACCCAACCCAACGGTTGGCCTAACTATATTTGACTGATTTCTGTTATACATTATCGTAAAAAAATCGTTATATATAATAAATTCTAGTCTGTCCGAAGGCAGGTACATGATGTATAATCATACATATATATCATCAGCAGGTACATGATGTATAATCATATAAAAATAACCATACATAAAAATTAATAAATATCTACTACTGGAAGTTTGTTACATTATTAATATGTTTCTTTTTTGTTGATTTTTTTATTATATGTGTGGACTATATATATAAAACAATAAATTGCAATGAGTAGTGAAGGTTCCAAAAAGCGATTCTATTTTTAACCCGTTTTGTCTTTTATTTTCAGGTTTCGTGAGGCTGAGTGTTAAAAAAAATAAAATATTTTATAATAAAAATAACTTTCTACAAATGATTTCCGATACTTCGATCGCCACCAATCAAGTGGTAATGCACCATTGTGACAAATGCACCAGGCGATACAAGAATCGTGAACACCTGACCAGGCACCAGCGTTACGAATGTGGCAAAGAGCCACAATTTAAATGTCCATATTGCCCTCATAAGTGCCATCATAAATGTAATTTACAAGACCACATACAGAGAAGACATAGTGGAAATAAAGTTCAATATAAATATTTTAAATTGTAGATGGTTATGATTTGAAACACAGCGTTTGATATTTATTAACTTCCCGAAGAATATTGTAGCTTGAAAATCCGACTTGCTAATTTTATGTTTTCTCCATATTTCAAGTATTTCTGAATTGATTGATATCGAAAGAAGAGAAAGCATGTGTGGAAAGCGGAAATTTGAGCTAAGATCGAAGTTTCCTCAAAGAAGTCTGTACCGATTTCAAAATTTCAAAATCCATTCGATGAAACTCGATAAGGATTCGCGTTGATTAGTTTATCGCGAGTGCAATTTATTTATTTAATTACAGCAGCTAAAACTGAATTATTGTTAATTACAGAAAAAGAAGTCAAATTGGTCGAACATGTCGTCTTAGAAACAAATATAAGACAAATAATAAGTTTTTAGATTTAATAATAATGTTTATGAACAATCAAAATTTTATATAAATTTCAAATAATTTTGATGTTTTTAAACATATAATTTAATATCGAATTGTAAACTAGTGGGGCGCATGGCATCGTGCCTTAAGGCAAATTGCTGGAACTTCCCGTAACAAAAATTATTTTTTTTTTTGAAAAGATTAACATTTTTTAAAAAAATTTACTCTAAAAAAAATAGATTTTTGAGGAACTATATAAATTTTTGACAAAAACTTACTTTAGTGTTGAAAAATTTATTTTGAAATATTTTGGAAATTCTGAACTTTTTTTCAAAGCAATCGTACTGCTTTAATGCATAGAGACTAAATATCGAAGCGCGTAAGCGCCGCGTCGCTGTCTAACGCATAAGCATTGGTACGGAACCCATAGGAATGTTAACAAAATGTATACTCATTGTTAAAATCTCTATAAAATATCTGATAATTTGATGTGCATATGTCTAATGTCTAATGATTATTGTTGACCGCCAAATGTTATTTTTTTTTACTTTTTTACTAGATCTCTGAAACCGCTAGACCTAATTTCATAAAAATTTCATCAAATCTTCATCTTGATAATGCAAGTAAAATGTTTTTGAATTATTCAAATTGCTTCATCCCGATTCCCGAAATCGTCGACGAAAATTTGTATCTGAACACACACAAATGCACGCACACACACACATACACACACATACATCAATTTTCTCTAAGGTATGCCAATATATTCAGAAACCTTTGAAACGTAAAGTTATATAAAAATTTTCATTTTCGATTTTTGTGCGATTACTATAACTTACCCTACGGAAAGTTAATTATAAATAAATCAATTTATCACCTCCAGAACATTAACAATCGTCATTTCATTTCGAATCAAATTTCAAAAAAAAAAAATAGTTGCCAAATTTCCACAAAATTGAAAAAGTGCTCCAGCGTAGTCACAGTCTAAACGCATTTGCAAATATTCTGTGCGATATTTTCACTTATACTGTGCTCAGCTTGGCGGCATTTTCACATTTTCAATAATTTTTCACAACAAAATTGGAAAAATGCTCCAGTACACAAACAGTCTAAACGCACTTGGGTAAACATTTGTACCAGAGTGGCGCTTAGACTGTGCTTAGCTTGGGTGATTTTTTGAATTTTTAGTCCAAAATTACAAAAAAATTTTTTTGAAAAAAAATTAGAATCAAAAAATTTTTTTTTCCAAAATCAATTGTTTTTGAAAAAAGCAGAAAGTTCTTTGAATCATTTAAATCGGACGCTTAGTTCTCTCAAAAACAGCCATTTTTTTAAATTTAGCTCTGTAACTCCGAAACCTCTGGGCCTACCTTTGCCAAAACTAATCAGCACATCTCCCTATCAATAGGAATCGAATGTTTTTTAAACCATTCAAATCGTGTTGATCCGTTCTCTCAAAAATTCGCTTTCTATTTTTTGCACTCTTTGCTCCATATCTCCGTAACGGCTGGACCTGCCTTTGCCAAAAACTAATCAGCACTCTCCCTATCAATAGGAATCGAATGTGTTTTTAAACCATTCAAATCGGTTGATCCGTGCGCCCGAAAACGTGGACGAAAAAAGCGGACATACAAAACACACACACACACACACACACACACACACACACACACACATCCATTTTTTCTGAAGTATGCCAAAATGTTCAAAAACCTTCAAAACGTCGAGAAATGTAAAAATTTTTGATTTCGATTTTTGGACGATTACTATAACTTACCCTACGGGAAGTTAATAATATATTAAATTTAAATTAATTGTAAATTGTGAATAATAATTTTTTAGATTTAATTTCAAATTTTTTAAACAATCAAATGTTTATATAAATTTGGATCAATTTTGAATATTTCAATTATTTTGAATAATTTAGATTTGCGAATTATGAACTTCTTAAAAATGTGAATTTTTAAAAAGTTAGATTTTTTTCTTAAATATTTTTAGTAAATTTTTAATAATGAATGAACATTTTAGTAAAATTATGATAAACACACTGAATTAATCAATATTATTTGTTTCAGTAATAGTTCAAAAATATTCTGTATACATTGTATAAGAAAATAATACAAACTTGTACTATCACTGCATGAAAGTCAAAAATCCTAATTTGTTTTAAACTAGATATACTTAATTAATTATGTCTTTACACGTAAAAGTTTTTACTCAAGTAAAAAAATCGAAATTTTTACTAAATAGTTAAAACCGTTTGCTTCGGATGTGTTTTATAAGACTTTAGGAATAAAAGATTAAAAAACAAAATATTTTAACTATTCTTATTTACTATTATAAAAAAGGGCAGCATTAAAACTGATATCGCCATATATTAAGACTCAAAAATATTATAAAATGAAACGCATAATTTATTATCATTTTATGCAAATATAGTGTCTATAAGGGTGTTCTTCTAATATATTGTGTTATATTATTTTAGATTAATTGCTTATAACGTACGATGTGTATATATGTATATATATATTTAGGAATTTATGCTTAAGTTTTAAATTTAATAAAGTATCATGTCTTCAAATTTATTTATTAATTTTTGTACTTGGTTTTCACATTTCATTGGTTTTAAATCATATTTATTTTAAATAACATAATTTTTCCTCAAACATTGTAAATATACTACACACTTTAGTAGGAGTTCAATTCGGCATCAGTTGACCAATATAAGTTACATCGATTACATTTACTAATCTATCTTTTTCCATTTGCAGGTGGCTAAGATATAATCAATCGATCAAGGGCAATATATTAATCGTCGATGTTGAGTTAAAATTTATTAATAACACAATTCTTCCTTATTTCTGTTCCCAGATTCGTTCTACTCTATGGATGAAAATTTGGCTTGGCAAACTCGAAATGTACTTTTCGGCGGCCAACGGTCTGCATTGGACCGCGTCCATCATTGTAACGCTTGCACCAGGTCATACAAGTACCGCGCACGCACCTGCTGAGACACCAGAGGTTCGAATGTGGCAAAGAACCCAATTTCAATGTGGGCACTGTTCTTACAAGTGTCACCAGAAAGATAATTTGACGGCACATGTTAGGCGAAAACATGCTAACGATGTCAGGACTGGTTGTCAGTAGACGGAATATAATTTAGAGATATTAGGGATGATCAAAAAATTCTCAACTGAGAAAAATATAACTTTTTAACGATATATTTTAAATTGTGAGTGATTTCAGCAATTAACAAGTCGACTGATTTTATTAAAAAATATTTTACAGGGTTTCGAGTAATTATGTAGGGAGTGCGGGGTACAAAGAAAGGTCCTATAGTCCAGTCATTTAAGCTTAAATTAGGTAAGAGTTCGAGATACCTAGCTGTGCGTCTGTAATACCCTAAAAAGCAGCCTAAAAGTTGTCTCAAATCTGCATATGGCACGC